TTCTAAAATATCCCCTGCTTTAGTTTCATTCCAAACCAAACCATTTCATCACTTTTATTTTTATGTCATTCACTCTGATAGAGTCTCATTGTATAGCCTTTTTCTTCCACTTTCAAACTCATTTTTATATATCCATTAAAATTGTTCTACAACACAGATGTCAAACTCGATCGCGTCACATGACATATCGTGATTTTTTTTGCCTTTGTGGAGCTGGGGTGGGCGTGGCCTGTGCATGACACATTCGGCCCATGGGCTGCCAGTTTGACACCCCTGTTCTACAAATTTGGATCTTCCTCTTTTAATCTTAACTATTCTTTTCTCTCTTTGAGCACATCTCTTCACTGCAGATAGGACACTGGGCTGAGACTCTCATATTCAGAATGAAAGGATCTATACTTTAGTTGTGTACTAACAAGTGATTACAGAGAGAATGTTTGGATTCCTGTATGTGACTAACATGTTATGATAGTTGGAATAGGGAAAGGTCGGGATAGGACAGAGAGAACACATACAAATGCTGGGAAGATGTGATCCCCTGCATTTAAGGACACAGCTGGGATGATCGCCACATTAAAATGCTTCTCCCTAGCCCAGTGTTTCCCAAACTTGACAATTTTAAGGCATGAGGACTTCAGCTCCCAGAATTCCACAGCCAGCAACGCTGGCTGTGGAATTCTGGGAGTTGAAGTCCACATGCCTTAAAATTGTCAAGTTTGGGAAACACTGCCCTAGCCAAAGACCTGGCAAAAAATGGTCAGCATGCTTATCCTCATTGCCCAGCCTTATTCTGGCTCCGTAGTGAGGCTGGTTGTACATACTTAATGCAATACAAGGTAAGGAAATTAATAGAGAGGGAGGGAGGGAGGGAGGGAGGGAGGGAGAGAGAGAGAGAGAGAGAGAGAGAGAGAGAGAGAGAGAGAGAGAGAGAGAGAGAGAGAGAGAGAGAGATTCAAATCCTTGGAAGCTGTCCTGCTCTTTCCAGCTCATTCCCATTCTGCTTGCTGATTGCCTTCCAATGAAGATTGTTGACTCTCAGGAGATGCTGCAAGGTGGATCAATTCCAGTTTATTAAGGGCAGGGGTGTAGGTCTCTTTCATCCACAACAAGATCCTTTTTCAGCTATTCAGTAGGTGTAGAGACAAGGCTCAATAATTTTGCCTAACCACATTTTTGCCTTTTATTAGAGATTTTCAGCAGGCAGACAGACCGGCATCAAATCATGAAACCTCATGATTTAGGAAGTGTGAACAGCTAAAAATATATGCAAGCAATTTCTTCCTTACAAAAAAACAACTTCCTATCCAAGAATTTCAGCTGATCAGCCCATGTCTTTTTGTTACCTCTGGGGCAACATGATTTTATAACAATGCCGTTTCTGTCTCTGCTTAACAGGAATATTCTTCTTCCCTTCCCTTCCCCATTTTTAAAAAGCAGATTGAAAAAAGTAACCATCTGCTGTTCTGTTTTTGTTTTTTCTTCCTCTCGTCCAGCCCACTCTGGTTTTTCTTTTCTTCACGGAGCTTTAAAAAATAATAACAAGGATTCTTGGCCTAGCCACTCTTGGTTTTTCTCCTATAAGACAGGTGGTCAAACTAGATTAGCTCCCAGATGCTGGTGGAAAGGAACTTGGTGTGATGTTCCACGATGACATTAAGGATCGGATCACAACTTTCTCAGAAAGTTAGGTAGACTTTACTGGTCAGATGCCTGAAATTTATGCAGAACGTCTGACTGCAATGATTGCAGACACAGAGTTCTGCATATATGCTGGTCGGAGCTGATTCACATAATTTCAGAAGCTTGTTTGGGTGATGCTATAAAATTGTCGTTGCCTGGAAGTGCATTAAAGTGATTGTGCTTAAAACTGGGAGCACAGAGGTAGGATATTAGTGGCTCCTGAAACCACACGTAACAGTTGGATCATCATTTATTTATTTATTTCCCATTTTTATTATTTTTTTCATAAATCATTCAAAGCAGCAGACATACCTAACATTCCATCCTCCTTCTGTTTTCCCACAACAACAACCTTGTGAGGGGAGTTGAGCTGAGAGAGAGCGATTGGCACTGGCATACTTCTAATGCACTATTAGTTTTAGGGATAACCCTCAGACCTGCTCTCCAAAACTAAATTAAGGGACTTGGCATGGGAAGTGAATTTGGGAATCCCAGGAATCTGGATTACTGATGGGGATCAATAGATTTCTGCATGCATTCAGGTTCCATTGGAATGAGTTGCAGGATAGAGTGTATATCGGAGGTACTGTACTTCAGCCTTATTCAACTGAAAGGGCCCTTATTAAAAGGAAGTTATCATACTAGGCCTCCACTCCCATATAATAGTGATTTAATTTTTGTTTGATGCCCCAAACCCAGTAATGTTGCTGTACATTACAGATTTTTCACTACTTATGCCAACAAAGGGCTTCACATGGGTGTAATGTTTATTGTGTGAGTGTGGAAATGCCATTTTGATTTCTTCTTTTTTTCCTGTTCTGTGGACTGTTCCTGGGTACTGCTGACTATAGTCATGAATGGAGCTCATACATTATGGATTGCTTCCTCAGGTGACACTCCTGTTCAGCTTCACCCCACATCTGTATTAGCTGATTGATAGGCAATGCTGGGGGTGGAGAGTAAAACAGGGGTGAGTGGGTTTCTTTTTCTTAGTGATCCTGCTGAATATACCAGGAAAATTCTTTCCGATTTTATCCTGCCTTCTTCCTCCATTCCTGGAGCCCAGCAGCCTATATTTGGCAGGGGTTCAGTGTTTGACTTACATTCAGAAATTATTCTGACAGGTCAGAGATGGAACACTTCTGTGCTTGTGATCTGTTAAAAAGGCGACTTAACAAAGGTCTACTACACCAGCTGTTCAAAATCTCCCTACATTTACCTGGCCTTGATTACCTCAGATTAAGGAGAGGAATTAGTGGTAACATTTGATGGGGAGATAAATGAAGTCAGAAGAATCTCCCAATCATTTTCTGTAATTGGTCTGTAAGAAGCTTGTAAGGAACGTACCATTCACTGGCCTCATTACTGTGTTATAATAAGAGGGCAGCAAATTTTATGAAGGCATACTTTTCTTTAGCTCATGGTATGGGATTACACTATAATCTGCTGTCTTGCTGTGCCCTAAGAGAATTTTACATACAGTTAAAAGTAATGTTAAAAATTTTAAGGACATTTTAAAATATGTAAGAATATTTATTCCTGGATTGACTTCCGTTAAAGTTCCCTTAGTGAGGCTTGGCAGTGATTAAAATACTCTTTCCTTCTCCAGCACAGGAGATAGAGAATCCACCAATGGGTTTAGACTGTGTTCCTGCCCAATCAGATCAAGTCAGCCAAAGTTGCCACGCCTCTCCTGGGCTAGAGGATCCCAGTCTCGACTTGATCTTGGCCAGGACAGACACGCAAATTTGGCTCTTAGGCAGGTATAGTCTCTATTGGTGGATTTTCCATCTTTTACCTTTTAACAGTTTTCTGAGCAGTGCTGGGTTCACTGTTTCTTTCCAACCCTCCCCCCCCGCTTCAAAGTGAGGCTTAGTAAAGCCCCTTCTTGCGTTTCTTGCCTTTCTATTTTGTTTTCCACGTCCCTAGCCACTCTTAATCCTGGATCCCTACTGAGATCAGTGCTGTTCTCATCCCTCTGGGGAGCCTTTCTTCACCCCTCAGAAGCAACAATAGTTGCCTTTCTCTATATTAGTTTGATTGCCTTCCTTGCCGGAGCCTGCGGCTGTAGCTCCAGGGCGTATTCGTGCGCACGCTCCCAAAAAAAAGGGGGGTGGAAGTTCAGCGCGATTCAAGAAGGCTTCCCTAAAGCTTGTTTTAGTGTTTCTTGTTGCTGGGACTGCGGCTGCAGTTCCGAAGTCCTTGCGGACCGAATCCTTTGCTCTGGATGACCAGGGGGTTACGGCTGCATCCCAGGCATCTGATTGTGTGCGCAGGTCCAAGAACGGCAGTTGGGGTTCAGAGCGAGTCAGGGAGGCTTCCCTACATCTTTCAGCTGCCGTTTTTTGTTGCCAGGGCTGCGATTGCAGCTCTGGAGGTCTGGCGGCTCATATTCTTTCCTTGACTTCTGCGGGGCTTGCGGCTGCAACCCCGGTTGCCGGACGAGTGTGCGCCGTCTCCTGACTGGATTTTGACAAAATCAGCTGGCTGGCGGCTCCATGAGGCGGCAAAACAGTATGGATGGCGCAGACGAGCTCCGTTTTCCTTTTGGAAGCGGCGACCGCGCCCCCTGGAGATCGCAATCATTTTCCTTTTGCCTGGCAATTTTCAGGGTCCTATAGGGACGTGCAGCAACTACAGTGTTGGTGGCCTATTAGGCATTTCAAATTCGCGGCTGCCATTTTGTGGCCTGAACACTATTGTCTCTAGGCCCTCGCTGTCCTGAGGGAGGGGCTCTTTCCTCCATCCCATTCTTAATTGGGGAATAGTCTCAGGGAGTTTCACATTGCAAGGACGGCCACCATTTTGGATCCGGCTGCCATTTTGAGAACTGCTAGTTCTCTCCCTCCTTCATCTGCCAGCCCTTTTTTGGGGGGCTACACTAATCCTCTTGCCCCAAGCAGGATTACTAGTCCACGAGTTTGGTATCACCACACCATCTTGGAGGTCTTGAATTGGTGTCTCCTTTTCTACACATAGCATAGCTGTACATACACACCCTGTCCTTGACTCTCCCTGTATAGCAGTGTTTGGATTCCAGGTGTACCTTTTCATGCACCTGGGTTTATCCACAATTCTAATATCTTTGGATTCCAGGTGTACCCTATTGTGCACCTGTGTTGTCCACAGATTAGCAGTCCTTGGATACCAGGTGTACTCTATCGTGCACCTGTGATTATCCCCCCCAAAAAAAACCCAACAACAGCAGTCTCTAGATTCTAGGAGTACCCTATCATGCTCCTATGCTTATCCACAGAAAAAAAGCAGCTGTCTGTGGATACCAGGGGTACCTTATCGTGCTTCTGTGATAATCCACGACGATGGAGGATACTGGCCCTTCCAAGAAGGGAGCTTCACCGCTTTCATCAGCCTTAAAACGGCATAAAACCTCCAATCAGGAGGCTGCAGGCAAGATCTCGGCCAAGGCCAAGGCCAAATCTGCAGGCAAAATCTCTAAAAAGGATGAAAAACAGGCCAGTAGGAGACACCAAGCATTAGAGAGAGAATTCTCTAAAGCACAAAGACAGGCCAGGACTGAAGCCACACAGGCTGATTTGCCACTGGGACCGTCTGCTTCCCCTCTGGGGATCTGGTCAACAGCGGATACCATCTCTGCCCCTGTACCAGGTGACACATCTCACCAGGATCCCATCTTCCAGCCTGCTGCCCTGCGGGCCCAGCAGTTGGCCCCGGAAACTACTTTCACCCCTACTGCGGCTGGACTCAGACCAACAGAGCCGGTTCCCCTTCCCACGGAGGACCGCCTAAATGAGTTGATTGCACAGGCGGTAGAGCACGCTCTTCAGACTAGATCGCATATACCTAGGTCAACCTTGGTTTCTCCCCTACCTACCCACCAGCCAACTACCGAGGTTTTTTGTGCACCTTCTTCACCTTCACAGTCCTCTTACTCCGAGGATTCATCCTCTCATGAGTATGATGCGGAATTGGGGATCCTGATGTCGGATGAGGAAAACCCTCCCAAAATGCCATCCTTTGCTGGTCTCTTTAATCTGTCTCATTTTGTTCCCCTGTTCCGAAAGGCCACTTCCACGGCCCATCTTGGACCTGAACCCTCCACATCGACATCGACAACTGCTCCGGCCATCATAGACCCGGTGAACTGCCGGGGTCTATCTATTCCAAGAACACCGGGACAGCATATGGCAGTTAGTCCTCCAACTCTGCGGGAACCATACGGTAACGTTAACAAGTCTCCCAATTACTGGGAAAGATGATTTCGGCCATTGCCATTGTGCCTTGGACCAGGCTCCACTCCAGGATCCTTCAGTGGTTCCTGCTCCCCTTCCAGAGACTGAACATCAGCTCATCCACTCGAAGAGAGCGAGTTCTACTCCGAGTCTTGTGCTCCCTCAGGTGGTGGCTCTCATCGGCCATGCTCCGGGGGTCCTCTCTCAAGGAGCCGGATTGAATCACACGATGGACGCCAGCTTGTTCGATTGGGGTGCGCATCTACACTCGCAGTGAGCCCAAGGCCATTGGTCCCATTCCGACCTTCGGAACAATATAAACTGGTTGGAACTCTGAGCCATACACCTGGCCCTTCGACACTTCCACAACTCAGTAGCGAAGCGTCACGTACTGGTCTCCATGGACAACGTTGCTACCAAGGCCCATGTGAATCGGCAAGGGGGCACCTAATCTCATGCTGTCCTGTCTGAGGCTCTTCTCCTGAGCTTTTGGGCAGAATCCAACCTGGCCTCCATCAAGGCCGATCACATATCAAGAGAGGCAAACACACAGGCAGATCTCCTCAGCATGGCGACAGTGAACCACTCGGAGTGGCGCCTGCACCTAAGGATTTTCAGGGAAATCTCCCACTGCTTTGGACTTCCAGTCCTAGACCTCTTCGCCTCCCTGACAAACACTCAGGTACCGAGGTTCTTCTCCCGTTTCCCATCCCCGGGGCAGAGCACACGGACACTGTTTGGAGTCAGTGGCCGGAGGGTCTGCTCTATGTCTTTCCTCTTCTCCCTCTTCTCCCGGCGGTCGTCCACAAGATCCTTAGGGAGAGATTGGAGGTTCTTCTAGTGGCCCCGTACTGGCCTTGGAGACCGTGATTCGCTGACCTTGTGAACCTGTCCCTAGCAGAATTGTGGAGGATTCCCCTGGACAGGGTCTCACTTAGTCAGGGGACACTCCTTCATCCGGACCCCCAAGGGCTCCAATTAGCCGTATGGCACTTGAGTGCTCAGTCTTATCCCAGGAGCACTGCTCACCAGGAGTCATTTCCATAATCCAGGCCTCCCATCGGCCCTCTACCAACCGTATTTATGAGGCCACGTGGAGGAATTTCTGTTCATGGTGCTCAAAGCACCACTTGGCAATTCCAGATCTGATGATTCCTCACATATTGGACTACCTTCTGATGGGTCTGGAGAGGGGTTTGGCTCCAAACACACTACGCAGACAGGTCGATGCTCTTTCCACCATAATTACATGTGAATCTGCAACTTCCCTAGGTCACCATCCCTTGATCCGCTCATTCATCAAGGGTGCTACTAATACCAAGCCCCCTGTAGTCCATAGATATCTCTCCTGGGAACTACCAAGGGTTTTGTGGGCTCTTACCAATCCGCCCTTTGAACCCCTCAAAACATGTGATTTGCGATACTTATCACACAAAGTAGCATTCTTGGTAGCTATCACCTCCGCGCGGCGGATTTCCGAATTAGCGGCACTCTCCACCAGAGATGATTTGTGCATTTTTCACTGGGACCGAATGGTCCTTCGTCTTGATCCGACCTTTGTTCCAAAGGTAAATTCTTCATTTCACAGGACTCAGGAAATCGTGTTACCAGATTTCTGTCCTAATCCATCGCATGCTGTGGAATGACAGTGGCACCTGCTAGACATCCACAGAGCAGTCCATTATTATATCTCACGGACAGCTGCCTTCCACACCACCGAGGCCCTTTTTGTCTCCTGCCATCCTCCTTCTAGGGGTAGGAAAGTATCCTCCTCCATAATTGGCAGGTGGATTAGGGCTTGCATTGCGGACTCATATCGGGCGGATTCAGTGCTGGTTCCAGGGCGCATTATGGCCCATTTCACCCACAGCACGGCTACTTCCGTGGCCTGGGACACTCAAGCATCCATTGAAGACGTTTGCAGAGCGGCCATATGGTCCTCTCCATCACCCTTCGTTAGACATTACAAAATCGACAAGTTTGCCTCAGCGGAGGCCTCCTTTGGCAGGAGAGTTCTCCAACAGGTACTACCTCAAAGTGCTACACTGGGCAGGCCTGATTCCCTCCCTCAGGGACAGTAGGCTTCGGTATGTCCCATTGGTGGATTCTCCATCTCCTGTGCTGGAGAAGGGGCATTGTCTTACCTGAACGCCTTTTCTCAGCACGGAGATGGAGAATCCACTCCCACCCTAGTAGGTTATTAGGCCTAGATCTATATTTATGAGCCAACACGTCTTGCTGTCAGTCATGGCTTCGCCTGTGTCGAGACTGGGATCCTCTAGCTCAGGAGAGGCGTGGCAACTTTGGCTGACTTGATCTGATTGGGCAGGAACACAGTCTAAACCCATTGGTGGATTCTCCATCTCTGTGCTGAGAAAAGGCGTTCAGGTAAGACAACGCCCCTTCTCAAGGCATTGGGACTATGATTCCTCAAATTCCCAGTAAGAATATTAAAAGCCAAGATGAGAATTGTGGTTCCTGAACCAGACTGAGAAATGCTGTTTTAAAGGACTATATCAGTATAATCCTAAATTTTTATTGATTGATTGAACTTTTCTGCTAGAAAATGCGCCAAGAAATAAATAAATCTGGTGATCTATCTGGAGCAGCTGACTGCAGTCACATGTCTCTAATTTTTTCCTCTCCTCTCCAATTTTTAATATTTGAACGTGCTTTCCTTTGAATAACTGAAAGCAGAGGTTCCATATAGAGATCAATTGTCTTGTTTCTAGTCTGCTGCTCTTGTGCTGCTTCCAAACTAGTCAGTTGTCTAGCTTTTCAGCTATTTCTGGAAAGTAAGCCTTCCGTGTGGCTAATCCAATATTCCATAATTGATCAGTATTTTATATAGAATAGCGATACTATCTTTTTATTATTTTGAATCTGTGTTTGGATTTTACCTCAGAAAATAAGAGGCAAATCCTCTCTTGTTCTCTTAGCACTGCTGCATTTCTGAATTATACTATGAGGTAATCTGTGCTTAGAAATGGCCTATCTTCACTATCAAAGAATGACAGATGTGGTTATTTGTAAATTTAATGTTTTCCTATTATATCATACGTAACCACCCAACCCTTAAAGTACCTCCATTATAGAGTATTCATCATCTCACTACTAATAAGGTCAGTATAGCATAGTTTTAGTATAGTTTTAGTAGATTTTAAAATCTTACATCTGTGTGGTTTTAATGTTTTAATATTCTAATTATTTTTCTGCTTGTTCAATAACTTGTAAGCTGCCCAGAGTTGCCTTATAGGGAGAAGGGTGGCATAAAAAATTAAATACGTAAATAAAATAAGTAAAGTAAATAAGTAAGTAGGTAAATAAATAAATAAATAAATATGTTTTAATGCTGTTCTCCCTGATGAGCTGTCAGTTTTGATATTCATGCCATTCTCAGAGTTACTGGCATTTGGGCAGCATATCAGTTTAATAAATTATTATTATTATGGTTGGTTGTACAGTCAGCCAGATGTTAAGACTGGATTTGGCATTTCTATCCACCCATTGAGCTTCCCAAGGTCCTGGGATAAGCAGGTGTTGATGTTTGATGGTGTTACAGGTATCATCACAGGATGTATGCTTTTCCAAATAAAGCTGTCTTTTGCAATTGACCAATGGTGATTTTATCAGTGCCAAAATTATTGTTGCTGTTATTATTGTTGTTGTTATTATTAACCATTCCAGGATTTGGGGAGAATCTTCTGAGTATCTAACAGATTTGCTATAATCGATAAGCTTACAATAAATTTCTTCAGTTACTTGTCCTTAGACAGTGAAAGAGTATAGCATTCAGAAAACCCTCACAGTTAATCTTATAAAAAATGCCAAGTGAACACTTCCAAATAATATCCATGATGTCATCTTGTGTTCTAAGACCTCTCTATCAGAAATTATAATCATATTATATAAATATTAATACTGGTTGGTGATTAAATGTCATTGACACTGAAGTTTTATATAGTTTTGTGTTCGGACTGTAGCTGATCATATTTCCTACCAGCAATATCCTAAACCCATCTTCCATCATTTTTTTTTCAGATATTTAACATTTTGTGAAAATAATGCATAGTCTAGCTCATTGGTATTTTTGCTTATAAATGTTTTGAATTTAGATTTTTGTGAATATTGTACAATTTGATAACTTGATCATAATTCCTTTAGTAAAGACAATTTTCTTTTTAATTCAGGGTTGAAATTTGATATGTCACAGAGGACTGCTCTGATGGTCCATTGAAATTAAGGTTTGAATCTAGTTCTAAGAAAGGTGTTGGACCATGTGGTTTGCTAACATCGGCTGAGTATAATATTTGGGCAAATCTTGCCATAACAAGGTTTTTGAACATTTGTGCATAATGAAAAATCTGTCCAGTTGTTCTTTTTTTTGTTCACATTGCAAACTATACAATTGCTTCCAACTTTATGCTCAGAGGTGTGATAGGAAAATAAGGCTGGACACATGCAGAACTTCTCTCTCTCTCTCTCTCTCTCTCTCTCTCTCTCTCTCTCTCTCTCTCTCTCTCTCTCTCTTTTTCTCTCTCTCTCCCCCCCCCCCCGTGTGTGTGTGTGTGTAAAAGAGAGAAAAATGTCCTACTGCACAAGGTGCACTTGATAAAAATAGAGGAAAATTCTAACAACATAACACAGCCCAATCAGCCATTCTTTACTAGTGTCTTCAAAATAGAGCATCCATGCATAGAGGAGACAAATGTAAAAGCTTGATGTCCAGTCCATTTTTCTCATAAAAGGTAGCAAAGATCTATATGTATTTGATACTTGCTGTCAGTTGCTGGAGTCACGTTGCAGGCTGACCAACAGTCCCGTACTTGTATAGGAAATTGCTATCTGATTAGCATTCCTAAACCAATGCCAAAAAATGATATCTTGATATGCCCAAGTTATGTCCACTTTCTATGAATGAATCCAAGTTATGTGTTTATTTTTTAAAGAGTGATTTCTGTCGGGGGGGGGTGGGGGTTAGATGCTGTTTCTGAGATCCATATCATGCACTGTCAGGCAGAAAGGTCTCAAAGAGAAGAAGACTATATGTTCCTGCAGAATGCATAGCTTATGAGTTCAGGAAAAAAGTGACAGTGCTGTGGTTAATAAACGACAGGAAGTTGGTTTAGACAGGAAACATCAAGGCTTTGTGATACTTGGAGTATGTGCCAATGAGAATAATTTTGACAATGAACTCATAGTAAAACAGGTATCTTGAAGCAAGGTCTGGTGAGAAATCCATGCTAATTGAGTT